GCTCGAACCATTATTTTTCAGAAAATTAACACGAAAATTCATGATTTTCGTCCGAACCTCGACGACGCGATACTGAGCGAGAGACGACGAGCGATGGCTCGTTGGAAAGCTCGTAAGTTTTCCTAAAATATATTCTCGAATGAGCGCAATCGGCGCACGCGTCGCGACGCTAGACGCGCGCAAACACGAAAATTAACATTTTTCATACTTTTTACCGAAATCCCTTGTACTAGTTACACAAACATCCACCCGTCTCTATCTGTCTACGCCTCGCCGACGGTGAAATCGTAATCCGTCGGGAGCACGACGAAATCCCCCGGATTCGGCGCCACGTCTTCTAATTTTAATCCACCAAAGCTCTCACGATGGAGTTCGACCACGGTCAGGCCATCAAAGAAGGCGAACATGCGCTTGACCTGATGGAACTTTCCTTCGGTGAGTCGAAGTCGTGCCTCGCGCTCACCCGTGATCTCGCACATCGCCGGTTTACACGATTTCTCTTCCCCGCTCAAAGTCAGCTCTCCGCTCGCGAATACCTCCACGCACGCTCGTGGAATCGGCCCATCCGTCCGCACTCTGTACCACTTCCCGACGTCTTTTTTCGGCGACGTCAACGCGTGATTCAGCGCCCCATCATCCGTTAACAGCAACAATCCACTCGTGTCCTTATCCAACCTCCCAATCGTCTCTATCGACGGTTTCCGTCGTCGCCACCGTTCCGGTAAGAGCTCGTACACGTTCGCTCCCTCTCTCTCGTCGTGCGAGCACACCGTCCCGCGCGGTTTATGCATCGCCACGAGCACCCCATCCGGATGATCCAACGCCTCCCCGTCGACGCGCAACGTCGACGCGCGCGCCTTCGCGTCCACCCCCCGCACGCGCGTCCCGTCGACGACGATCTCGTGCCGCGACGCGAACGCTCGAGCGGTGGACCTCGTGCAGTACCCCAGTCTGCTCAACAACGCGTCGACGCGCTCGACGCGCTCGACGCGCTCGTCCCGCGCGCACGCGATCGCTCGACGTCCGCGCGCGCGTTCGCGCCCGGACGTCCACGCGCGCGCCCGTGGCGTCGGCCCTAACGCGCGCGCGGACATCGCGTCGCGCACTGCGGTCGCCCGCATTCAGCGACGCCCCGTGCGCGCGCGCGTCCTCGCGGGCTCGACGCGACGCCGAGGACGCGGACGTGGACGGTGCGCGTCGCGTCGTCGCGCGCGAGGACGTCGCGTCGTCGGGCGCGCGCGTGAGCGGTCGACATGGGGGTGACTGGGTACACGAGATGGCTTCAGGAAGAATTCGGCGGCGCCTTCGTGAAACACAGCTCGAGGGTGCCGAGACGGTACGATCACGTGTACATCGACGTGAATAATCTCTTGCACGTCGCCGCGCATCACTCGAACAGCGAGTCGAGCTTTTTCAAAAAGCTCTTCACGCTGCTGGACAATAGGCTGAACAAGACGAACCCGAGACACGGGGTGACGTTAGCGCTTGATGGACCGGCACCGATGGCGAAGACGATCACGCAGCGAAAACGAAGGATTCGATTGAGCGCGGGGGCGGCGACGCCGCTGAGCGAGGAGGCGAGTAAGATGTTGAAGATTGGAATAACGCCGGGGAGCGTCTTGGCGCTAAAAATCGACCGCGCGTTGGAGTATTACGTGGCGCGACGAATGCTCAGGAGAGATAGGAACGGGGCACCGGTTGATAAGGTTTTGTATGAAATCTCGAGCATGCGCGTCGCGGGAGAGGGGGAGATTAAACTGGTGAAGAGCATTCAGCAACGCATGGCGAACCCGAGGTTTCAGGGACACTCGCATTGCATCGTCACCGAGGATTCCGACGCACTCTTACTCGCGATGATTCTGTTCGGGCAGGGTAAGGGACGAGGACGAAAACGATACGCATCGAACGAACGGTTTGAGGTGTACGTGATGGGTGGTAACGAGTGGGTGTTCATCGCGCGGAAGTTTGACCGCCTCTTGCTCAACGCGCTCCCGAGAGGGGCGTCGCTCGACAGCGCGAGGCGCGATTTTGTCGGGCTGTCGGCGATGATGGGGAACGACTATATCCCAAGCTCCAAGCTCGGGGCGAAGACGGCGTGGAAGACGTATCTAGAGATGCGAGAGACGTATCTGTTTCGCGACGACCCGCTGTTCCCGATGCCCGAGAGCGTGGATGAGCTCAATAGACAGTTCAGCAAGAATACGAGAGCGCATCCGGAACAAGCGAAGGGATTGGCATCCGCGGTGAACTGGGTGTTTTTACGTCATCTCGCAAGGCGAGTGATCGCGACGCAGAGGCATGATAGCAACAGGCGTGATAACGATGGCAAGGGAGCGCAAGAGAGGCATCGCAAGCGAGCGTACGAGTATATGTGGGGGGTAGAATGGATGCTCAACATGTACTTCAACGGTGAGTGCGAAGATTTTAGTTTTCACTTCACCGGGCAAGGACCGACGAGCACGTACGACTTTTTGTCCGTACCGGATGAGTATGACGTGTCGTGCGATCCGCTCGTCAATCTTAAGCGCGCTGAAGCGAGCTTTTACAACTCGCGTCCGGTGACGCCGCTCGCGTACTCCCTCGCGGTCATACCTCGAGGCGGTCGCAAGCAAATTTCGAATAATATTCGTCGGCTCGTCGACCCTAAGTCACCGATTCGAGAGATGTTTGCCATGGACTACTGTTCAGAGTGCATTCGGTATCGCATGCATGTGGCTCCAATGGAGAACGCGCTGTCGAACACTTTGGCGTCGAAAGATCCGGGATTCAGCGAAGTCGTGCCTTCGAACGCGCAGTTCTCACGATTTTCGCGCTTCACGGACGACGAGGGCTACATCATCGATCCAGAGACGGGCGAGTACATGTCCATGGATGAGGTGCGGAAGAGGGTGAAGGAACTCAGTCGAGCGCACTTACAGCACCTACACTCGGCACCGCAGCACGCGAACGAAGATCCAATTTGCCTTCCCACGGTCGAGGCCGCCGTAGCGAGACTTAGCGCGGATAACGTGCTCACGGAGGAAGAGGAAGAGCTTCGCACGCTGGCGACCTCGGTGCTCTTTTGGCGTCACACAATGTTTGATCCCAAGGATGTCGATGCTCGCGACTTTGCCGACGAGGAAGAGCTTTCGACTTGGTACAAAAAGATCGTCCCCAACGGCTACCCGAGTCTCCAAAAAGAGCAAACGACGGAGATTCGTAAGTTTGACGGCGACATCGACGACGTTGTTCGTCGATGGGGCGTCGACAACGAACATTTCAAGGAGATGGACGACGCGAACGCGTCCATCGCGGCGTCACGGAACAGCCAATCGAGTAACGGTCGAAACGACACGAATGCGCGCGCCCGACACCAACGGGACGACCAATCCACATCGGCGACGACGGACGCCGTCTCGAGCGACGTGGTTCGCCCGTCGTCTCGCCGCCCGAACGGCACCAACGGCGCGAGAACAGACACAAAGCGAGGCACCGAACGCCGTCTCCGCGCGGTTCGAGTCCAAACGCATCGCTCGACGTTCGCGCGCGCGTTCTAACCGGACCGATAATGTTTGTACATTGTATAGCTCACTTTTGCACGTCAAACCAACCCCGCGGCGCCACGAAGCGTCACACATCGACGATCGCGCCCGCGGACGAGAGCGCGGACGAGAGCGCGGACGAGAGCGCCGATCGCCCGTCGCCATGCCCGCGCGCGCGCCCGAGCGGGGCGACGACGACGACGACGACGACGTTTTCGCCGCGCCACCGCCGAAACGTCCGACGATGGATGCATCCTTCTTCGACGCCGATCGCGCCGGTACGAGCGCGGCGATCGCGGACGCGGACGCGGACGCGAACGTGAACGATCCGTCGTCCGAACTGGACGCCAAGCGCGTGCGTCAGTTGGTGTTGGCGTTCGAGCGGGCGTACGCGGAGAATGTGAAACAGCGGGCGAAGCACGCGGACGAACCGGCGAGGTTCGCGGAGAGTGAGATCGAGCTGGATTGCGAGATCAAAGCCCTGGGGCAGCTCGCGAGCGCGCCGGAGTTGTACGCGGAGCTCGTGCGATTGAACGTGATGGAATCGGTGGTGGGGATATTGGGACACGAGAACGAGGACGTCGTCGCGGATACGTTGGAGGTGTTGCGAGAGCTCACGGACGGAGACGCGGTGGAGAGTGATGAAGAGGGAGGAAAGGCGCTGGCGGATGCTATTAAACGCGCGGGAGGGTACGCGGCGCTGTACGCGGCGCTTGTGAGGTTTGAGGACAAGCGCGGGGATACGCGGGCGACGACGAGCGAGGCGTCCGCGGCGGTGTCTTCGGCGCTAGGAATCGTGGAGAACTTAGGAGAGATCGTGGGAACAACCGTGGACGAAGACAGCGGAGAATCGTGCAACGAAGCTTTCGAGGGATTGTGCGATGAGACAGATCTTTTGGGATGGCTATTGAAGCGAGTTGAGAAGAAGCGTGTCGTGGACGAAAACAAGCTCGCCGCGTCGGAAATTTTAGCCATCGTCTTGCAGAGCAGCGCGCGTTGTCGCAAGAAGTGTCTCGATATGAACGGCTTAGACGCACTGCTACAAGCCGTGTCAGCGTACAAAAAACGCGAGCCCGAGGATGACGGCGAGAAGGAGCTCGTCGAGAACTTATTCGATGCCGTGTGCGCGGTCGTCATGACGCCCGAGACCAAGGATGAGTTCCTCGATCTCGAGGGAATAGAGCTCATGTTAATGATCTTGCGCGGAAGTTCCAGTGGAGACAAGAAGGCGACGCCATTTGCGGCGATACCCGCTCTGAAGTGTCTGGACTACGTGACTAGTGGAAACAAGCGCGCGTGCGAGCGTTTTGTCGACGCCGGTGGATTGAAGAGCTTGTTCCCCGCCTTCATGGGTCGAAACGTAAAGACGCTGCGCAAAACGTTCGGAAACGAGGCCGTTCTCGAGCAGCAAACGCGCTCGAGCAGCTTACTGTGTTCCATGTTTAAAAATCTCGCGGATACCGAGCGTCGCGACCGACTGTGCGCCAAGTTTGTCGAGGATGATCACGCCAAGTGCGACCGTCTCATCGAGCTCTGGGTTGAATTCGCGAAGCGCGTGAGCGCCGAGCAAAGCCGCCTGGAAAACGACGACGAAGATCTCGGGATCGAGCTCACCGAGGAGGAAGAGTACCTACAAAAACTCGACGCTGGGTTGGCCACGCTCGAACATCTGACGTTAATACTCGCCAATCTCTGGGCCACCGGTCACGCGCCGATCTTGCGCAGGCTCTACGCCAACGCGTCGCAAAACTCAATCACCCTCGGTGATCTTCGCGATATCATCCGCGAGTACGCGCATCACGTCGGTGATTCCGGTGGCGAGGACAAACGCGCCGAGCAAGTTCGAGCCGCGCTCGCCTCGCTTCCGTACGCCCCCGGCGAGCGCGACGATTGAGCGTCGCGCGTGAAAAGTGTATCCACCGCGTCTGTGACAAAAAAATCTCCACACCACGCATACTGTTCGCCCACACACACGACGGAGACGCGATCCGCCGCACCCGCGCGCCGCGTCGCACTTCCCGCCCCGTCCCGTCGCGATGCACGCGTCGTTGAGCTTCAAGGCGTCCGTCGCGAACGCCGTCGTCGCGCGCGCGACGACGGCACCACGGGTCGACCGCGCGTCGACCGCGGTGCGCGTGCGTGCTCGAAACGATGCGATTGTTGACGGTTCGCGCTCGGGACGCGGTGCACGAATGATTGGCGCGATCGCGGCCGAAATCTCCTCGGAGAGGCGCCGCGGGCGAGGACGATGGACCGCGCGTCGTCGGTTCGAGGTCGAACGACCGGGTCGGGCGATCTGGGCGACCGTGCGGGTGGGAGGAGGGCGCGGAGGCGGACGGCGCGGCGGGCGACGGAGGAGATAACGTTTCGGCGACGCGGCGGGAGACTGACGGGAAGACGATGCGACGTGCGATTCGTAGGCGGGTAAGACGATCGACACGAACAATCGTCGGGAAATGATGAAGAAGAACCAAGAGTTGGCGGCGAAGAAGGCGGCCGATGCGAAGAAGAAGGCGGCGGCGCTGGCGGAGAAGAACAAGGCGGCGGCGGCTCGCGCCGCCGAGGCGAAGAAGGCGGCGCTCGCGAAGGCCGAAGCCAAGCGCAAGGAGATGCAGAAGAAGACGGCGAACTTGAACAAGACGGTCGGAGGTTCCTCTAAGTTTGCGCGTTCGTACTCCAAGCCGGTCAACATGAAGGATCCGCTCGAAGGCAAGACCTTCGGTGGCTTCCTCAGCGGTCTCTTCGGCAAGAAGTAAGCGCTCGTCGTTCGAGACATCAAGATTCACTCGCGATGACGAGGATCGCGAGTTCAAGTTTTACTTTCAACGATTGCCGAAGGTACGTCAACGCTCTGCGCGGCGCGTCGTGGTATAATTAATTAATTCGAGCTCATTTTCATTTCTACCTATATTTTTCGCGCCGAATCGCGCGAAGCACGCGACGAACGACCGCTTCTGGCGCCTCTAAGTGCACGGCGTGTCCGCTATCCGGAACGATAAGCACGCTCACTGCGTCTTCCGCGAGCGCGGAGGTCTCTGCCACGGCGTCTCGCATCTTGAAGGACATCGCCTTGAATTTCTCATCCTTTTCGCCGACTATGAGGGTGAGTTTGCCCGCGAACCGTCCGAGACCTGACCACTGTTCGCCTTGACGACCGGGCGACGCGGCTGAGAGGCACGTCGCAAGTATCTCCGCATCTGCACCGCGAGTCGATCCTCGACGTGCGGAGAGACCTTCGACGCCGCCGAGTCGAGGGTGCTCGATGAGCGAAGTAAACAAACTCTGTTTGTACCAAACCTCTGCGAATTCGCGCACGCCCGCACCCTTGCGAAGAGCGCTCGCCAGTGCGTCATCTCGAGCAGCGCGCGCGCGTCGCGCTTCGTCGCCACGGACGCCCGGCGATCCACCTATGGAAACGATCGTCTTCACTAGATGCTCGTCCAGAGCGAGCGCGACACGAGCACCCATGCTGTACCCGACGACGTGCGTCGATTCCGGCGCACATCCAATTTGAGACAGCACCATCGCCACAACGTCACGCATTTCTTCGATGCTCAGGCAATCGCTCATGGATTTATTGGGGTTCGGAGATATTGTTGTCTCTCCGTGAGCGGGTAAATCAATGGCGACAACGCGAGCGTCGCCCGACGCCGCAAGACCTCGGGCAACGACGTCCCAATCAGTGCTCGAACCCATGAAACCATGCAAAAGCACGATGGTTTGTTTCACGTCACTGCGTTGACTATCGACGACATGAACGCCGAAACAACCATTCGGGGTCTCCACGCGAACCGTCGTGGGTTCGCCCCAAGCGCGCGTCGAGTTAGTAAAGTCCGACATGAACTCCGTCGCTTTCGACAACGCAGCGTCCACTGCGGTGAACTCAATCGTGACACCATTCGATCGTTTCACTACTGGCGCTGAGTTTGGAGACATGACATCGCCGTTGAACCACGTCGCGGTTCCCAAGCCATGCGCGCTCGGTTGATTGTCCAACTCGAGAATGAGTGGCTTGGGGGATTCCGATGCGCCGGAGCGCTCCGTATTGTCGTTTTGTGTTGACGTATCTTTCGCGGCGCAAATTTCGCGCTCAAGTGCGTCTTCAAGGAAACCGGCGAGATGAGCGCACGTATTTAAGCCAATATTACTCTCGAAAGCACTCGAGATAACAGGACGCACTCCTCGCGACATGGCAGCTCTCGCCAGAGTTGTAGTCGCCTCGAGGCCACCGACGACAGACGGCTTCAGAACAATGGCGGCGACTCCGGTCGATTGGTCTGCGATTTGAGCCACGGTCGCGCTCGCGTCGGTAAAGTTCGCAGATGAACGCACGATTTCATCGATAGTCTCATCTAACGCCACGGGGATGCTCGTGGTGAAGTGAAACGTAGCGATGTCTCTCGCGTCGCGAGTGGGCTCTTCAACGTACTGCAAGTTGACGCCGAGATCAACGACGCGTGCGCCAAAGTGGAGCGCATCATTCAGATCCCATCCTTTGTTGGCGTCTGCGCGCAAGACCACGCTCGGTCCGATTTCCGCTCGAATCGCTGCGAGGCGCTCGGCATCGGCGTTCGCGCCCTCTTTCCCAACTCCTCGAGCCACCTTGACTTTCAAGCACGTGAATCCAGCGTCCACGAGATCTCGTGCCTCTCTTCGCGCAGCATCTATATCCGTAGCGGCGTCAACGAGCCCGTTGACGAAAACACCACTGGTGTCGGCATTACCAGTCATGATGTGCGCGAGAGGCTCGCCCACGCTCGCGGCCAGCGCATTCGCGACGGCGGCTTCGACGGCGAATCGTACGGAAGGGAATAACTCGCCGTTCGGCGTTCGAATACCGACACGACTCTCCAACCACGACGTGAACGCACCATTCAGCAGACTGATGTTCGTAGGCACGTCGATGTTGTCGAGAAGAGAAGCAACAACCGCAAGCTGCGCTCTGCTCTCTTGAAGAGTCTCGCGATGGAGTCCGGGTAGAGGTGAGCATTCGCCGAAGCCAACGCTTCCATCACTCAGAGTAACCTTCAGTATCATGCCTTCGCGTTGCATTGAAGCACTTACCGTCGTCGTTGGCTTGTTCAGAGGAATGGAAAAGGAAGCAATCTCCACTCCTCGTACGATTTTTGCCGTCGACTCGGCGGAGAGTCTCAGCGCACGTCGCGCGGCATGAGCGCATCGACGCTGAACCATCTTGTGCTGGACCAAGTTTCTCGCTCGTGATGTCGTCACTTCGATAACATTGTGCTGATTCTCGGTCCACGATGTACGGAGAGCTCTTCGAAGCTCTTCGATAGTTCTGGGATGCGAGTACGTCACGCGATGGGCCTCGCACAGACCCCGTCTCGAAACGTCCGGTGGCGTCGCGAACAAGCGATTGAACGAAGAATCATCGACTTGTGCGGCGACTGGTAAGAATGAGAATATGCCACCGCCACCGTTATTGACGACAACGACCGTCACAGGTGGTTGCCCCGGTCGTTCGCGAAGGAACAGCAAACCGTTGGAATCGTGTTGGAAGGACACGTCTCCGATGATCAGCGTGACTGGATGTCCGAGACCGGCGGCGTAACCGGCGGCGGTCGATATGACGCCGTCGATCCCGCTAGCACCTCTGTTTGCGCTCACAGGAACTCCAAGGGAGGTGCCATCCGACTTTTCGAAGCCTTCAGCGTATCGTTTGATACCCGCAAATGTGTCAATGTCGCGAATGGGCATCGAATTTCCGAGGAACAAACCCATAGAGTCCGGCAAGCCCTCGCTGATCGCGACAGCGACCGCCATCTCGGAGACTCCTTCATTGATTGTTATATCATCGAGTGCGACGGCAGCTTCGCGAGCGACTGCCTCACCGATGGAGACGGCTCGATCAGCGAAGGCGACGCATGCCGCCTTGCGCTCGCTCATCGCGTATCCGCTCTCGTCGTTCAGAGCACGCTCCAAGAGTTCCGACGCGTGACCAATAGACGATTCGACTCTGACAGAGACGCAGTGCGCTGGGTCATGTCGGTTCGGCGTTGGCTCTATGATGATCCATTCGGCACCGTGGTCGATCGCGCTCGTCTCGAGGAACTGATTCAACCGTTTGGACGTCAAGCGAGTGCCAACTTGCACGATGACATCGGGTCGAAGCACTTCGTGCGTACTCGGCTCCACGAGAACGTAGTCAATCATCGGAATCATTCGCACCGATGCGTTCTCACACGCGCCAACGCGCATTCCGCTCGTGGCGTCGGCAGCGACGGCCCATCCCAACGTCTCCGCCATCGCTGTGGCGGCAATGGCATCTGCGGCTGTCGTGCCGCCTCCGACGACGAATAAACCTCGCTTTGCCCGAGAGATGCGCGACAAGGCTGATTGCCACGCACTTCCATCCTGAGGGGCGCTGATCGAGGCGTTGCCGATCGTGAATTGCGTTGAAGACGCCTCCCAGTTCTCCAATCCTTTGAGCGCCGTCACGGAGTCCCACTCCACGCGCTGCGGCCCCAAAGGCTCGCGGAACGCGCAATTCAGGTGCACTGGCCCGGAATCAACGCCCCTCAGATGCCTCAGTGCGGTGGATGCCATTGTTGCGCACGCACGCGCGGGCGAACCGTCACCCGGCGGCGCCAAATCCGCATTGAATCGAGTGTAAGATCCGAATATTTTCACCTGATCGATTGTTTGGTTCGCACCGGTGTTACGCAGCTCGTACGGACGATCGGCGGTGAGCAACAGCAAGGGCGTCGAACTCTCGGATGCTTCCACCACCGATGGTAAAAGGTTCGCCACGGCGGTACCGCTGCTACAAATCACCGCCGCAGGCTGTCCGGAACCCTTTGCGTATCCGAGCGCGTAAAAGCCTAGCGATCGTTCGTCGATACAAACAACCACATTCGCGCCAACGTGCTTCTCCGCCGCGAGCGCAAGAGGAGTCGAACGACTCCCCGGTGCAACGCAAAAGGTCGTAATACCTCCTCGTACAAGCTCACCGACGAGAATGGTCGCCCACGCGGCGTTCGGGTTGGGTAGACTCGCGAGCCGCGGCGCCGGCGCCAGTAACGATTCCAGTGGTTTCGTCTTCAAATTCAGCTCGGACCATTCGGCTTGAGCGTTAGCGGAGCCAACGACACCGACACCTGCATACAGCGATACCTCGTCGCCGCTCGGATGCACCAGTGCGGAGCGAATCGCTACGGCAAATTCCGCGTCTTCCGCGCCGATCCAGCCCAAGGGTCCCGAGTACAAGCCTCTGTCGAAGGATTCCACCGCTCGAAGAGTGCGAAGCGCCGCGGGACGCGGATAACCGCACACGGCGGGCGTTGGATGCAACGCGCAGATCAAATCGGCCTCATTCTTCCCTCCAGCCAGAGGTGCGGATAAGCGTGAGTACAAGTGCTGAACCGTGACGTTTCGTAGGATGCCTTTCTCCAGCTCAACGTCGATGCCATCGTTTCCACCCTCCGCGACTTCCCCGAGAGCACGACGAACTTCTTCTCTTACGATCGCGAACTCTTCGTGTTCTTTTGGCGACAAAAGCATGTCGTAAGCGAGCGCTGCGTCTTCACCGTCGTCAGAGCCTCGCGCGCGCGTGCCTGCCACGGCTTCGCTGGAAGCTCTTCCTCCTTGACTCAGAAACAAACGTTCAGGGGTCGATCCTAAGAACGTCTCTCCGTTTGGATGCCTCAAAACGAACTGATACGCGTCGGGGTCGCGGGCTTGAAGCCTAGAAATCAAGTCAAATGTGTTCACCGGCGCGCTGAGCGCGAGCTTGCTACGGCGAGCCAAGACGACTTTACGCAGCGGTTCCATGGATTTTCCTCCGAGAAGCATGGCGTCCACCATGCCGTCTGAATTCACGTTTTCATCCGAGAGACTTCTCGCCATCGTCATCGCCTCGAACTGGTCGAGAACCGCGCTTGGCGCTTCTAAGCCCACCGCGCGCCCGAGCGACTCCAATGCGGACCGCACGTTTGGTGAATCCGCTTCATCAAAGCTACTTCCCAAGTCCACCCACGCCTCACCCTTTTCGCGATTCGAGCTCGAACTCGCCTTGGATGCTCGAATACGATCGATGACGGAGGACACGTCCTTGGACCACCCGTTCTCATCAGGCACCAGAGTCCTGTCTGTTACGTGCGCCGCTCCGGGCGGAAGTGTCTCGTTCGAGCTCAGGTTCACGCTCATCGAGCGCTTGAGCATCTCACACGCGTCATCCAACGCTTGAACGAACGACTTCGCCGAGGGACCGCAGTTCTCGTCGCCCTTCGCGTCCCACGCGACGCACACCGAGAGCGTGGCGCACTTGACGCCCTCCACCACCTCGAGCACGGGTAAGAAGAAGAAGTGCGTCCCGAACGACGCCCACTCTGCCTCAGGTGTGCGTCCGGGGTCGAATCGTCCCGCTCCGTACACGCGTGCGCCGGCACGTCCGCTCTGATGACCGCTAAGAAACCTCCGCATGGATGCTATGCGCCGCTGAAACGAAGACTCGTCCTCCTCTCCCGCGTCCGTCCACGTCGCGCACGCCCCTAAACCCGCGCGCGCGCCTCTATCAGAACTCAACATCCCGTCATGCCTGCTCGCGCGTCCGTCGTCCTCGACCGATCCATCGCGTGTCCTTCCGCTCGCTTTTCCGCCGCCGCTCGCCGTGCGCGCCCTGGGCGACCAATAAAACGCCGGCGCACCCTCTCCAGCGCGTCCGCTCGCCTCTCGCACCCAATCTAAACACGCATCCCCTCTCGGAACGTCGATCACGAACCGCACGCACCCGCTCTCGTTCCTCGACTCACCGCTCCGCTCGACGTCGCGTCTGGACTCGCGCGTCGCCCGCGCGAGGCGCCGCCAACCCTCCTTCGCGCTCACCGCCCGACCTAAATCGCGCGTCACCCGGCACTCCGCGGGCTCGACCGCGTTCGACGCGCGGTTTACCGCCTGCGCGTCGTCCTCGTTCGAGGTGACGACGTTTCGAGAGGTTGATTCGCGCTGCGACGGAGTCCTATCCGCGACGCTCTCGTCGCTCACCGAGCGCGGTGTGCGCCCGCGATGACGCTTTGCGCGCGTTCGATGCGCGTTCGATGACGCGATCGCCCCGTGTGCGAGGTCTGGGCGAAACGCGACGCGCATCACGGGCGTGGAGCGCGACGACGTGTGCGGACGCGGCGCGGGGCGGGGCGGAGACGTCGACGCGACGACGAATTGGATCAAAGTGGCGACGGCGGGAGAGCGGACGGAGAAGCGTCGATGAGTCGAACGTGATGAATTGAAATACTACAACATGTCGATCGGGATCGGGTCATCGGTGGGATCACGAAACTCGTCACCACTTGTTATGTCTGCCGCCGCCTCTGCCTCTGCCGCCGCCTCTGCCGCCTCTGCCGCCGCCTCGGCCTCTGCCGCCGCCTCGGCCGCCGGAGTAGCCGCGGCCGCCGCCGCCACCCTTGCGTTGCATCGCCTGGAGCGCCAGAGGAACGGTTTGACCCGCACCCTGGAGGATTTCGATGAGCTCATTCGCAGCGCCGCGGTTGTCCTTGGTGAAAAACGTGAAAGCCTTTCCATCCTTACCCGCGCGACCGGTTCGGCCGATTCTGTGCACGTAGTCCTCGACCTGAAGTGGAAAATCGTACACGATGACCGCGGCGACGCCCGGGATGTCCAAGCCGCGAGCGGCGACGTCGGTTGCGACGAGAATGTTCCCGCGACCGCGTCGGAAATTGTCGAGCACCATCTCGCGCTCGTACTGATCCTTGTCGCCGTGAATCGACCCCGCGGATGAGAACCCGACTTGTTTCAGTCGGCGATCTAAGAAATCGCATCGACGTTTCGTGCCGGCGAACATGATGCACGTCTCGTTCTTACCGAGCTCCTTCTTCAGGATGGCGACGCATCGATCAAACTTTTCCTCCTCCTCCACCACCTCCACGGTTTGCGTGATGGACTTGTTCGCCGTGAGCTTGTCCCCACCAGAACCGATTTGGATGTGAATCGGCTTGGTCGTGAACGCATCGGCGATCTTTTGCACGCCCTTCGGCCACGTCGCGGTGAACATCACCGTCTGTCGCGCCGACGGACACAGCTTAAAAATCTTCTTAATCTGCGGCTCGAAACCCATGTCTAACATGCGATCAGCTTCGTCCAATACCACGTACGCCGCCTTCACGGCGCTCACGGGGGCGGTGAATCCGGGAGGGGGCTCTAAGAAATCGTTCAAGCGCCCCGGGGTGGCGACGACGACATCCGCGCCAGAGCGCAGCGCTCGAAGCTGGTCGCCCTTGGCGGCGCCTCCGTAGAGCACCGCCGAACGACATCCCGCCGCCGGACAAAACTTGGCGCACTCGTCGTGAATCTGAATCGCCAACTCTCGCGTCGGCGCGAGAACGATCACGCTCGGCGTCACCGCTCCCGGTCTCCATCGCCCGTCGACGAGTTGCATCTCCGGCGCCTTTTGCGTCCCCTCGGCGACGATTTTCGCCAACGCCGGGAGTAAGAACCCGCACGTCTTCCCCGAACCCGTCTTCGCGATCGCCACCACATCTTTCCCTTTCAACAAAATCGGCCACGCCTCGGCCTGAATCGGCGTCGGCGCGTCGTATCCTTGCGCCTTTAACGCCTTTCGCAGCGCCGCCGGAAACTTTGCGTCGTCAAACGTCACGTACGGCTCCAAATCCCTCGTCCGCTCGCACGCGTTCTTGATCGATATCTGATGCTCCTTACGAAAGTCTTCCTTGGACGCCACGCGCTTGAGCGTGGGCGTGGGCGGCGCCTCGATCGACGGCGACGCGTCGCGCTCGACGTCTCGCCGCCGCTCCTCCGCATCTTTCTTCGCTCGCTTCGCCGCCTTTCGTCGCGCGCGCGCCTCCGGGGTCTCGTCCGCGCGCGCGCGTTTCTTCGCCGCATCGCTCGGCATCGCACGCGCCTCGCGCTCGTCGCGCGTCGACGTGCGCGGGCGCGCGCGGGGGCGTCGCGGCGCGCGCGCGTGGCGGCGGCGGCGCGGTTACGTATTACAACGGATATATCTCCATCAAACGACGACCACGACGCACACGCCCGCGCGACGGGTCGGGACACAATAAACGAAAAAACACGGACATTCGCTACGTACATCGTGTGTGCATCACCTTGTGTCCGTACCACCCGTGTGCGTCATCCACATGTGCACGTACTGTGTAAGATATACTCCAATGAAATGAAGGAACCACGCGCGCGACGGGTCGGGACACCATAAACGCAACAAAACGGACATTCGATACATACATCGTGTGTGCATCACCCTGTGTCCGTACCACGCGTGTGCGTCGTCCACGCAAGGGGCGTCCGAGGCCTCGGTCGACATCGCTCGACGGTCGTTCGCGGTCGCGATGACGACGAGGATTCCGCTCAACGACGGTGAAAATCTCGCCGTGGGGGCGTTCGGGGGGATCGTCGAGACATGCGTGCAGAGTGCGTCTCGGTGCCGTCGAGGAATGGTGAAGATGACGCGCGACGGGTGGATGGATTAATGAGGCGTCGGGACGCGCGCGCGCGAGACGGGCGGTCGGTGTCGATGGAAGGGTGGGTGGGGCGGTCGACCGCGCGCGGTGGACTGACAAAAATAATTCTTCGTCGATGGCGCAGTGCCGCTGATCACTTTTAAGATTTGCGTGCAAGACTCCAGGGCGCTGCCGACGTCCGTCGCGGGGTGGTACCGGGGCGTCTTCGCGAACGCGGCGTCGCTCGCGCCGATCACCGCGGCGCAGGTCGCGGTGAACGGCGTGGTGGAGCGGATGATCACGAATGGAACGAGGGATATGAGCGATTTGGAGCAGATCGGGTGCGCCATGACCGCGGGGGCGATCTCGAGCGTGTTGTACTCGCCGGTGGATTTGACTGTTATTCAGCAGCAGAAAATGGCACTCGGCCCGGGGGCGACGGTGTCCGCCGTGGTGAACCAGGGCGGGATCGGTAAGATGTGGCGCGGGACCATGTCGTGCGCCGCTCGTGAGAGCGTGTACACGGCCGGGTACCTCGGCCTCGGACCGGTGCTGACGAATAAAATTAAGGAGGCGAACCCGACTTTGGGCGACCTCACGTGCTCCATCATCGGCTCATCCATCGCCGGTACGTTCGCCGCGGGGGCAACGCACCCGATCGACACCGCGAAGACGATGCTCCAGAGCGATTTGATGGGTCAGCGATACTCGTCCGCGACCGCGGCGCTCACTGATGCCTACGCCAAGGATGGCATTCGTGGTCTGTACCGAGGCGGGTTCGCGCGAACGGTGAGAATTTGCGGCGCCTTTTTCATCGTCGGCAACATTCGCGAAGCCGCTGTGGCGTACAAGAACCGACCCAAGGAGTAAAAGAGCACGCGCGCGCGCACTATTCGATGAATTCATTCATTCATTCAACGCGCCTTCGCCATCTCACCGTCCGTCCGATCGCTCCGTCGGTCGGAGTGTTGTAACACAGAGACGCGCGAAGGCCAACACTCTTTTCCCACGTGCGCGACCGACACGACGCGTTGTCCCGCACTCCTCGACGCGATGCTGCACCGCCCAGCGAGCGTGCGATCGACGAGTTCGCTCTCGGGCATCTCCACGGACTCTCTGGACGCGTCGTACGATCCGGCGCGGTTACAATCGCTCGTCGAGTCGTTCTCTCGCGACGAAAACGCACACATTGACCGAGGCGGGACCGACGCGTTGGTGGTGCGCACACTGCGAGAGCTCGCGTGTGAGGCGGAGGGGCCGGCGGTGTCGTTCACGAAAACCACCAGAGGATCGCAGTTGTTGTCACTAATCTCCGTCGTGGTGAGAAACGTGTCGTTGAACGATAAGGTTGGCGCTTTACGGGCGTTGCAGTTGTTGCGGTGCAACGACTCGGCGTTACAGCGCTTGGCCCGAGCGGGGACTGTTCCGGTCTTGTTGAGAGCGCTTTCGTGCGAACATGACGAAGAGATGCGAGAGAACGCGGCGAGGGCGCTCGTGGCGCTCGCTTCGTCGCACGAGGGGTGTCAGGTGATGGTACGAGGTGGCGCGGTGGCGGCTCTGAGCGCGGCGTGCGCGAGAGCGGCGCGAGAGGGTGGGGGCGTGCGCGACGAGGCGCAGTACGCCGCCGACGCCCTCGAACGGATTTCGGGGCGTAACGATGCGTACGATCATCGCGCGTTGTTCCCGATATCGAGCGAACCGAGCGAGTTGGACTTAGTCGCCGAGAGCACCGCGAAGTCGCTCGTGGAGGTGTTATGTTCGGAGATGACCGTCGTACACGTTGACGCGAGCGAGGCTTTGTCGCAAATGGCGTCAAGTGGGCCGACGGGAAGAAGAGCTGTGGCTCGATGCGCCACTGTACTTCCGCTCGTGACCACAGCGCTCGGCGGCGCTCGGCAGCGAATCGCTTCGATGGAGTGTCTACGATGCGTCGCCGGCATCCCGTCGACGACTTCTGAGAGCGAAGATCTCGTCGTTCGCTTAAGCCGCGATCGCGAAGAGCTTACGATGAAAGAGAAGGTGATTGCTGCGTCCGGAACGGCGTCGAGTCTCGGCGGGATAAATTTTTTTCACGACATGATTGACGTGTTGGGTTCGGTTTTGGAACTGAGACACTCCCTAGAGCCCGCCGCCGCCGACGCCGCGTTGGCTCTGTGGGCGCTCGCATGGCAACCGTCGAATCGGGCACACATGGTGGAACCGAGCTATCGCATCATCGAGCGGCTCACCGCTCTCGCTCGCGAGGGATGTTCGACGTCTCGAGACGACGTGTTGAGCGTGCTCGCGGTGCTCGCGCTCGACGACGACGGAAGAGACGCGATTCGAGCGCAAGTGGAAGGCGCGCGCCTGCTCGACTATCTCGCGAACACTGCAGAGGGCGGTGCGCACTCTCCTCGCGGGTACGCGGGGTCTGCTGGACTCTCCTTTGACGAGCTCATCGATCGATCGCGACAACGCGAGCGTTCGAGCACGCGACTGTCGATCGCGGTTTCGAGAATGGGCGTCGACGGATGATTCAACGTTGTAAAATATCTGACTTTTTAGCTCAAAGCACTACGCAAAAATACGAATTTCAACACGATTCTATGAGGAAGTGCGCTCGATGTAATCAAGCTTCTCGTCGATCGTTGAGATGTCCTCGATGTCGAGCTCGAAGTCCAACACGTCGGCGATGTCGTCCGCCCTCTTCTCGCTCGTCAGAGACGGAATAGGAATCGCGCCTTTCTGTATAAGATATCTCAGCGCGACCTGGTACGACGTCTTACCGCCGTTCACGGCTCCGATGAACTCCAAGAGCTTGTTAAGGGTGCGAATCTCTTTGTCGTTGCTAGTGCGCAGCGCGCCGCCGCCGAGTGGAGAGTACGCGACAATAGCCACGTCCAAATCTTTTGCCTTGGTGAGCAACCCATTCTTCTCCACCGATCGATCGAGAACAGAATACTTGACCTGATTCGTCACGAGTGGGATCCCGCGTTTTGCCAAAAAACCGTGCATTTCCTCCATTTGCGAAGCGTCGTAGTTGCTTACGCCCACAGCCTTGCACAGACCCAAACTTTGTCCCTCCGCCAACGCGTCGCTCAAGGCGGATTGTTTCCACGTCGGAAACGGAAAATGAATGCTCCAAAGATCCACCGGCTCGCCGCCGTTTCGCTCCACGCTCGCCCTCAACGCGTCTACGAGCGACTTCGTCGTTAATCGAACTCCGCCCCCCATCACGACGTTTGTCCACGGAACCGTGAACACTTTCGTGCCGACGACCACACTTCGCCCTTCATCTCTCGCTTTCTTCGCGCACCGTCCGACGATGTGTTCGCTCGTGCACTCGAATCGCTTGCTCTTTGCCCCGTACACCTCCGCCGTGTCCACGAACAACCCGCTCGGTAACCGCTCGCTCGCTCGCTCGAACGCCCGCTCGAGATCGCGCTCTCTGAACGATGCGTTGAATCCTAATGTTTCATCGCCCCACGCCATGGTGCCGATCCCTGTCGAGCGCGACGCGGCGCGTCAGTCGAGGGCGTCGGAAAAGAACTGACACGATTAAAACACGCACCGATCGACGAACAAACCGTCCCGTCGCTCAGCGTCCTGGTCTTCTCCGTCGCTCTCGCGACGACGGAATCGCGCCTCGAAGTGACGTCGCCCTTTGCGCATCGCGTCACGCGCACGCGCGCGCTCGAGCGCGCGAGCATCGCGTGCGACGCGTCGGTATGTCACGACTGTAACCGACTTTCATCATTGCCCGGCGCATGCGCCGCGCGCGCGACGTTCTCGCACGCGTCGTCGCGCACACGGTGAGCGCGCGCTTCGGTGCGTCGTCAACGCGCGTTGTAACGTCGAAAGACGTCCAAAGAGCGACGCGTCGCGGAGAGTTAACTCGAACTTTCGCGACGGCGGAAACAATGTCGCGCGCGAAACCCAACGCGTCGGCGGCGAAGAGGCACGGAAACGCCCACGTCCAGATCCTAGGGCTCAACGCCGACGTCGCGGACACGACGTGCGCGTCGGTGTTGCTGTTCACCGATCAGAGGCGATACGTCTTCAACGTGGGCGAGGGATTCCAGAGGTTTTGCGTCGAGCGGCGGCTTCGGTTGGCGAGCGCGAAGACGAATGCGATATTCTTGACGAGAGTGGACAGCTCGACGGTCGGTGGGTTGATTGGAATGTTGCTCACGATGAGCGATGCGGCGTTGGCGTCGCACGGAGGGTCGGTCGATGGACTCGAGCGCCGAATCGTCGACGTGCGAGGACCGCGGAACGGAGTGGACCGCTTGGGACGAGCGGCGAGGACGTTGTTCGGGAACGGTCGCGCGGTGGCGCTTGAGGAGAACGGGTTCGACGGTATAGATGGTGAGGCCATCGTGGACGACGGCACGGTGACGGTGCGGCCGGTTCTTTTGGGTAGGAATCGAGAACGCGCCGAGGACGGAGGCGACACCAAGCGGGCGAGGACAGAGAGCGCGAGCGCAAGCGAGGTGGCGAGTTACGACGTGAAGCTCGCATCGATACCGGGAAAGTTCGACATGGCAGCGGCGGTGAAGTTGGGGGTTCCGAACGGGCCCATGCGTGGGGCTCTGGTGCGCGGAGAGACGGTGACGCTGGAAGACGGCACCGTCGTCGCGCCAAACATGTGCGTCGGGCTGGAACAACCTGGGCCAAGAGTTGTCATCTTCGACGCGCCGACGCTCGAGCACGTTCGTGAAGCGTTGTCTCGAGGAACATCTTTATTCGGTAACGTAGACGATATGAGTGTTGTCGTGCACCTAGCGAGCGCGAGCGTAGTGTCCACAAGCGAGTACGTCGACATGGTGAAATCCGTCTTTGGCGGCGCTCGCGAGCAGTGCGCGCACGTCTTCGCGAACTCGAAAGCCATGGACGAAGTTCCCGTGTTCATGTCTTCCGCAAGAATCCAGGCTCGGCTGAATGCGGTGCACTCGGGGATTTTTCCGGATGAAAACGTCCCGAGGTCACCGCCGCCATCGCCGTCGAGAGCAAAGGATGGGAAACGAGACAAGGTCCCGTCGGGCGTCGCCAACGCCATCGCGGGAAGAAACCTGTTCAAGTTTACGTTGATTCCGACCAAAAACGCGGGATCGGATTGGAGTGGGGTACCGAAGTACGTCCCGACTGCGGTGTACAAGGGTGACGTTGAGGCAAAGACGCGCGAGCTCGCCTCGGCGGCGATGAAACCGACTCCGCCGCCGTCGCCGAGCTCGGCGCCGCGCCCCGGAGCGGATCTCCCCGTGCCCGAGTACTTGCAAAAGCTCAAGCTGGGAGACGTCGAGCTCGTGTTCCTCGGCACCGGCTCCGCGATGCCGGCCAAGTACCGGAACGTTTCGGGATTTTTCATGCAGTTTGGAGGCGACGGGTTCGATGGCAACATCATGCTCGACACTGGCGAAGGATCTCTGGCGCAGATGATTCGACGGTTCGGCGTGGAATCAGTGAACGAAAAGCTGAAGCACATGCGAATGGTTTGGATTTCGCACATTCACGCCGATCATCACGTCGGATTGCCGCACATTCTCACGTACAGAGCTGAGCTGTTCCGTCGCGACGGCGTCGAGCCGCCGACGATTCCCGTCGTCGGACCTCGATCGCTGCGACGCTTCCTGGACTTTTACGGAGATCTCGAGCGGTTGCACTGTGACTTTATCGACCTCGCCGAAACTACGAGCGATAAGTGGGCGAGTGAAACGATGAGTCCACAGATTGCGCGCCTTCGCGCCGCGCTCTCTGGGTCGGATTTGGACGAAATCGTCGCCGTGCCCGTGAATCACTGCGCGCACGCCTACGGCGCCAGACTCGCGGGCAGGCGCGGGTGGTCGATGGTATACTCGGGCGATACTCGCCCGTGTCAGAGCTTGGTGAACGCCTCGAGAGACGTCACGCTCTTAGTACACGAGGCGACGTTCGAGAACGGCATGGAGGAGGAAGCGGTGAAGAAGCGCCACTCGACGACCAAAGAGGCGGTGCAGACGGGAATCGACGCCCGGGCGTATCGAACCATCCTGACGCACTTCTCGCAGAGATATCCGAAGATTCCAATCTTTGACGCGTCGTACACCGAGCGAACGTTCGTCGCGTTCGATCTCATGAGCGTCGACTTCTCCGAGCTGCCGAAACTTCCCAAACTCTTACCCGCGGTGAGGTCCCTCTTTGACGACGACGACGAAATCGCCAAGGAGGCAGCCTTAGGGGAGGACGAGTAGGGAGAGATGATTAAGATGACATTAGCGTGTAGGTAGTGATGCGAGTTGTTCGGTGTCTTTGAATTGTATTAATCAATCACGTCGCTCTGAGGAAATCCTCGGAAGACGTCTTCTTAGTGGTCGAGTACTTAAAACCAGTTTCTCGCCTTGGGCGCCGCCTTGACGACCATCGACAAGATATCCTCCGTCTCGTCAATTTTCGCCGCCAAGATGAAATCGTTCGTCGTGATCCCCTTCACGGCGTCGCTCCCGAGCTCGCACACGACGTTCGAGCCGCTCGTCGCCCCCAGGTACGCCGGCGTCCATCCCTCCGCCTCGCATTTGGCGTTAATCTTCTCCACCAGCGCCTCCGCGTCGCCATCCTTCACCGAAAACTCTCTTCGCAGGCACTCAAAGTTCCCTTTCCCCGGTCGAATCTTCCAATCCCACACCTGCTTCCGGAACACCTCCTGCTGCTCAAAGGTCAACTTGGCGTCGTACCCGTCGTCCCCGATTTGACGAACCGCGAGTTTGATCATGTCCGCCATCGCCTTCGGCGCTCGGTTCATGTGATCCGTGTCCGCGTGTCCCAGGCACGTCTCCGTGAATCCACTCTCGATCTCACCCACCGTGGCGTCGCGCGCGCCGATGTCCCCGCCCAAGCCGCCCATGTACTCTTGATTCTTACTGATGCTCTCGCCCGCGCCCACGCGCGCGCGCGCGCCGCGCTCGACGCGCGCGCGCGCCCGCGACGCCGTCCACCGTCCCGCGATCGGCGCGCGCGCCCACGCGCGCGCGCCCATGGTCGACGTCCCGCGCGTCGAGACGTCGCGTCGTTCGACGCCCCCTCACCGCGCCCGCGCCGGGCGCGTCGCGTTTAACGCCCCAGAACGCTATGTATGCGCCCGCGACCGCGACGACGCGCGCGCGCACGTCGGGTGACGTCGATGGGCGTTCGCGCTCGACACTACGGCGATGCCGCGCCCGGGGTTGGGCGAAAACCCCACGCGCGGCGCAAAAAATTCACCCCCCGTGAAGGGTGGCACGGGCCTCCTCTCTCTCGCAGGTTTCGTGCGTGACGACGGCGTAGCGGCAAACACCAGCACCGCACGCACATCTCAGCGATCACCACGTCCAGCGCGGTCTCCAGCACCATCGGCCACGACCACATTCGACGCGTGGCGCAAGCGAAACGCCAATGGCGTCAAGGAGCCGACTCTTTCCATCATTTTTTGTGTGTTACGGGTTTTTTTCGAGACGGCGATGCGAATCGTCAGCCGTCGTCGCGCCGAGGGTGCGCGCAGTCGTCGACGGGGCGACGGGCGCGGGGGCATGCGCGGACGCGCGCGCGCGGGGGGACGCGCGATCGCGATCGCGATCGTCGCGTGGACGTCGATCGGTGGAGGATCGAGGGCGATGGCGGCGACGGGGACGTCGGTGATCGATTCCGTGCACGGACGGGCGCGGGCGGTGCGCGTGTTCGCGCCGAGGGACGAAGTGTCGTCGAACGCGGGCGACGCGGGATGGGGGGACGTCGACGATGGGTACGAGGCGTACGTCGATGACGACGGTGACGTCGATGGAGGGTCTGGGGTCGGGACGGCGTTCGGGTCGTCGGCGCGGACGTACGCGACGTACGACGAATACGTCCAGAGCGAAGTCGCGAGGCTCGAGTTGTCGCTCATCGAGACCTCGGGGACGGAACCAGATTACGAAGCGATACAGCGAACGCTCGATGAGATCGCGCACGATGTGCAGAGCGATCTGGATCGAATCGCCAGGACGCGGGCGACGGAGATGACGTACGCGAACGACTTCTCGCATCCGCCGCGGGGCGGCGGAGGAGGCGGATACGTCGTCGCCGAACCGTGGCCGCCGGCTGATTACGGCGCGTACGCGAACGAGGCGTACGTAATTTACGACGCCGATGGCTCGAGAGTGATGTTCGAGCCGCAGGGTGAAGTGGGACGATTGATGCAACAGCTCACGTGGGTGACGACGATTTTTCCGGGCAATCCAACCGCGTTGGACGACTACATGCGGTGCTCGACGATCGTCCGACCGTGCTCGGTGGCGGAGCTCTTGAGACGGTGCACGTACGAGCCTCGAGGGACGTGGTATCGCGAGCGTATATCGCGCATGAACGCCCCGCTCACGTGGCCGTACTGTCAGCCAGATCTCGAGGAGGTGTACAAGTATTGCACCGAGGTCGAGGCGCAGGCTGGGATTTGCGATCCGAGAAGGGCTCGAGAGCGCATGTACCTGTCAAGGACGATCGCCATTAACGGTGGCACCGCGCCTTGTTTACGCTGGCGAACGAACATATTCGGCACGCGCGAGTGCATCGATCGCGGATGAGTTGAGCGTCGGCGTAACGGTGACTGACTTAAAAATACACAGTGCCTAATTTCATTTGTTTCACGTTTCATTTCCGAACGATGTAGTGTTCCAGCCCGCTTGTCGCATCTCCCACACTCGCACCGGATTCCCACGCCTTGGTGCTCATCTCGATCCCTTTCCAAGCTGATCCCGCGGGCGGGTCTCCCGCCATGCGACGTCGAGCGGCGTTGGATGGCGAAAGGTGGTCCATAGCGTCCGTGAGCGACTTCGAGCGCCCACCGATGGGTTCGTAATCTCGCAACCACTCGCCCTGGTACACTTGCTGTGGACGCATGATCTTCTTGTCCGGATCCGTCAGACTCTCGCGCCAGTGCGCCAGGTACCCGGTGGCGCGCGGAATCGCGAAGAGTACGGTGAAAAACTCGGGAGGGAATCCCATGGCGCGATATACCAGACCGCTGTAAAAGTCCACGTTGGGATAAAGCTTACGTTTGACGAAGTACTCATCCGCGCGCGCCGCCTTCTCGAGCTCGATCGCGACGTCGATCAAGGGATCGCGTCCGACGAGATCGAAGACGTCGTTGGCAATTTGGCGGATGATCTTCGCGCGAGGATCAAAGTTCTTGTACACCCGATGACCGAAGCCAAACATGACGTACTTCTTTTCCTTCACCCCTTGCAAGAAGCTCGGGATGTTCTCGACGGTCCCGATGCGCTCGAGCATCTTCAAAACCGCCTCGTTGGCGCCGCCGTGGAGCGGGCCGTACAGGGCGCCCACGGCGCCGGCGACGGCACAAAAAACATCCACCCCGCTCGACGCCAGGTGTCTGCACGCTGCCGTGCTGCAGTTCATCTCGTGTTCGGCGTGTAGCAAGAACATGACGTCCAACGCCTTGGCGAGCTTTGGATGGGGCTTATGGCGACTGTCTAAACCGGCGTCGAGCATGTACAGGAAATTCTCAGCGTAAGACATCCGTGTGTTCGGCGCGGCGGGCAACCGACCAGTGTTCCGATGATACGCGTGCGCCGCGAGCGTGGTCATCTTTCCGATGATTCGCACGATTTGCTTGTCCTGCACCGCGTGCGAGTCATAGATCCCACCGCCCGCTATCGCGGGGTTCTGCTCTGGATGCATCGCGCTCAACGAGTTCAAACCCGCAAGCATAACAGCCATCGGGTGCGCGTCGTGCGGCAGCGCCTCGATCGCGTGCACCACCTGCACCGGCAACGCACTGTGCCTCGCTATCGTGCGCTCCCACTCCATCAACTGACTCGCGTTCGGTAAATCTCCGTACACCAACGCGAACGCCGTCTCCAGATACGTCGACCGCTCCGCCAACGTCTCGATCGGGTACCCGCGGTACCTCAGCACCCCCTTATCGCCGTCGATGTACGATATCTTACTCTTACACGGCGCCGTGTTCATGTATCCCGGATCGTACAGCACCAAACCCCGCCCGTCTCCTCCCGCGATGATCTTCTTAAATGCGCTCGCATCCACGCTCCCGTCGTCGTCGATCATCACCTCGTACGTCTTCCCCGTTCGACTATCCGTGCATCGCAACACGCCTCGACCACCGTGCGGCGCCAATCTCACCGCATCGCCCTCACCCGCCCCCGCACCGCCGACGTGCGCGCTCAAAACACCGACGCGCCGATGCGCCGCGTCCTCCGCCATCGTTCGATTCCGCGCGTTCGATGTCGCGCCCTCGCTCGCCCTCGCGCGCCCTCGATGCCCGTCGCGGTCGACGGATGAATGATTCAAAATTCGACGCCCCACGTCCCGCGCTCGCGCTCGTTCGCGCGCGCGCGCGACGTCGACGAACGCGCGTCGACGATCGAGGACGGATGAATTATTCCCAGCGCTGACTCGACTTTTCGGTGCCGCCGCCCCGGTCCTCGCGATCGCACACTGGGTTCAAGCCATCTCGTATACGAATAAACCCTAAAATGCATATTATTTATCACGCGCGTAACGGTTTTCGCGCGTCGTCGGCGTCGACGACGACGGACGTCGACGCGTCGATCGATCGCGCGATGTCGCGCGCGGTTCGATACGCGAGCGATGTGTGCGATCTTTTGGGCGTCGATCGCGCCGCGACGCGCGCGCTGGCGGGGAAGATGCCGTGGATTTTCGGTTCGACGGCGACACCGTCGAGGGCGTTGACGCCGTTCGCGTTCGCGTCGGCGTCGATCGATCGCGCGCGACGGCGACGGGCGTGGGCGCGCGCGGCGGTGATCGTGGTGTCATTGATGGTGATGCGCCGCGCGATGGATCGCTCGGTGTGGACGCGGAGGCGTCGGGCGAAGCGACGGGGGGAGCTGTTGGAACGAATGTCCGCGGCGGAGACGTACGAGGCGTTCGAGGACGCGGCGTTGGAGTTGGAGAAACACGATGCGAGCGTGGAGGCGGAGGATGAGCGAGAAAGAGGCGAATTGCACGCGAGCGCGGAGAACGCGAAACGCGCGACGAGCGCGTGGGGGAGCGGCGCGCGGTCGTACGACGTCGATCTCATCGATGAACAGTTGAGACAGTTGCAGGCGCAACGCGCGAGCGGGAACGCGGAGGAGATGATGTTTTTGCTCCGGGCGGACATCTTGAGAAATCTTGGGTCGTTGATGCACGACAGTAAGGTGAGGTTCTCGACGCCGAGCAGCGAACCCCAGGCGGTTCCCAGGGTGGTTCGCCAGTACATGGCCGAGCTCAAGAGTCAGTTGTTCAGCATCGCTCAGGACGAGAAGGTGACGATACAAGAGAAGTTGATCTTCTTACAGGAGACGAGGCACTGCTTTGGCCGCACGGCGCTGATGATGAGCGGTGGGGGGACGCTGGGGACGTTTCATGTCGGCGTCGCAAGGGCGTTGAACAGGAAACATTTACTCCCACGTGTGTTAGCAGGCTCGTCTGTTGGTTCGATCGTTGCCGCGATCATCGCGAGTCGAACCCAGGAGGAGCTTGACGAGTTCTTCAGCGAGGAGAACTTTTGGGATTTACTCCCGGATCTCACGTTTTTCAGTGGGAACGATCCGATGAGCGTGATGAAGCACTACTTGCGCACTGGGGCTCTGCACGACATCGATTTCTTCCAGCGATGTCTTCGCGCGTTGCTCGGTGACTTGACGTTTCAAGAGGCGTACGATCGTAGCGGTGGACGCATTCTCAGCGTATGCGTGTGCGGAACGACGATTGGCGAGAAGCCACGTTTGTTGAACCATCTGACGTCGCCGCACGTCGTCCTGTGGTCAGCGGTCGCAGCCTCGTGTGCATTCCCGGCGCTTTTCCCCCCACAACCACTCCTAGCGAAGTCCCGAAACGGCACCTTCGTCCCATGGCTCCCCGAGGGCAAGGCTGGACCTCGACGGTGGCGTGACGGCTCACTCGAGGCTGATTTACCTATGGATAACCTCCGAGAGCTCTTCAACTGCAACTATTTCATCGTCTCGCAAACCAATCCGCACATCGTGCCGCTACTACGAATCAAACGATGGTTCACCTCGCATGGGCGTCTTCTGAGATTCTGGGCGTATTTTATTGAGAGCGAGTGGAAACATCGTTGTCGACAGGTGTTGGACCTCATCCCGAGCGTTGATGTCTTTGACGTCTTCAAACTCTTTGGTCAACAGTGGGAGGGCGACGCCACGGCGGTGATGTGGTATACGTGGAAACAGTTCTCTCGCATCGCTAGTAACCCAACTCGAGAGTTCTTGTTCGAAACGGCGACGATGGCGGAGAAGGAAATCTGGCCACAGCTTGCCGCAATTGAGCACGCGATGGGCATCGAACTCGTCCTCGACGAGTGCGTTGCCTCTCTCCGAAAGAACCTCCGTCACCACGGCCGAATGGGTTCTCGCGGCCGAGTTCCGAGTTGGAACATGGTCAACTTTGCTACGAGGGCGTCCTACGCCCAGATGGAGCGCAACGACTCCGTCGAAGCCTCCTCTGAAGGCGCGACGCCGAATCGTCGCCACTCGAAAAACTCCTCCACTGCCTCCCTCATCCACGCCGACGACGTCGCTGAGGACGACACCATCCTCCCGTACGACATCATCGCTGCCGCCGAGAGCGCGAGCGAGCGTGACATCCACGACGCCCTCTACGCCGACGCCTGATGACATTGTAACGCTCTGTGAACTTTCAAACATCACTCCACCCTCTCGGACGCACTCCGTGTCCAAAGACCTTTTATTCCTCCTCACTTACTCACGCCATGGCTTGGGGTAACGCCAACGCGTGGAGCGCTCAGGTGCGTTTTGTACCCACGAATACGACGCGTCTTCGTACCCGATCACATCGAGCGTGAAGTCACCCGATGATCGTCGACGACGCGATCTTTTATCGAGGACGTCCGGCGGCGCATCGCTCGCGAGCGAAAGATCGCTTCGATTTCGGCGCGCGCTGGGACGAACACGGCGGTTCAGCGGTGGATTACGATGGACGAAAAATCTTTTAGTCGTTTGATCGCGTCAGGGGAGAAGAAGACGGTGAACGTGCGACGCGCGTCGATCGAGACGGTTCGGAGGATGAGTAGAGCTCACCGTGTGCATGGATGAACGCCGCGCGTGACGAGAGGTTGCAAATGTGGTCGAAGAGGGACGTGACTGACGATGACGATTGATTTCGAACGCGTAGGTGGAAGGAGAAAAGAAGGAAGAGGCCGTGGGATCGGCGTTCCCGACGCTTGGCGACGTGTCAGCGAAGGAGGAAGCGGCGTTTCCGACGCTCGGCGCGGCTGCGGCGATCAAGGAACCAAAGAAGAAGGCCAAGGGAGTCAAGCTCTCGCTCGCGGAGTTTGCGGGATCGAGCGTAGGTGGGTCTTCCTACGTGCCGCCGACGCGATCGGGCGTCAGTGGGTACTCGAGACGCACGGATGACGTCGTGCTTCCGACGGGACCACGATCCGACCGACCGGATGACGACTTTGCCGGCGGCTTGGGCGGCGGATTCAACCAAAGCGGAGACCGCTACGGTGGTGATCGCTACGGCGACCGCCAGGGCGATCGCTACGGCGACCGCCGCGAGGGCGACCGCTACGGCGACCGCCGCGAGGGCGACCGCTACGGTGATCGAGGTGATCGAGAAGCTCCTCTGGAGGACCAAGGTCCTTCCCGCGCGGAGATGAGCTCCAACTGGGGCGCGGACCGCCGTGCGCCGCCACAAGATGACCGTTACGGCAGCGGACGGGGCGGTGGTGACCGCTACGGCGGTGGTGACCGCTACGGTGGCGGTGACCGCTACGGCGGCGACTACGAAGATCGTCCTCCTCGCGAGGAACGCAGAGGATTTGGAGATTACGTCGATCGAGCTCCACGCGAACCGCGCGAGGAACTCGGGCCGTCGCGCGCGGACGAAAGCAGTAGTTGGAGTAGAGACAGGAAGCAGTTGCCGGAGCGTGACTCGCGATATGAGGACCGTCCTCCTCGCGAGGAACGCGACCGCGATTGGGGCGCTTTACGCTCGCGCACGAGCGCCGCGGAGCCGCCTGCGGACGATCGCTACGCCCCTCGCGAGCGACCGAAGTTACAGTTGAAACCGCGATCGGAGACCGCGACCGCGCCCGCGAGCTCGGGATCGAACTCCCTGTTCGGCGGCGCCAAACCTGTTGACGTCAAGTACGTCGAGGACAAGCCGCGCGAGCCCGTCCCGGCTCGCAGCGAAGACCGCCCCGAACGCACCACCGATTCAACAGACTCTTGGGGCTCGCGAGCGCGTGATCGTACCGAAAGACCCAAGTTTGCGCCGCGCAAGGAGGAAGAGCTCCGCGAGGCGACTCCTGAGGAGCGCGCAGCCCGGCCGAAGCTCAACCTGCAAAAGCGCTCGACTGAAGCCCCCGTGGGCGCCGCAGCGCAGAGCTCGTTGTTCGGTGGCGCCCGCCCGCGTGAGGAGGCGCTCAAAGCGGCCGGTCGTGACCCCGTGGCCGAGGACTTGAAGCGTTCCGTCGGCTCGGTGAAGCGTAAGGAGTTCAAGGAGGAAAAGGAGCTCAAGGCGAAAATTGAAGAAGCTAAATCCGCTGGCCAAGACGTCTCCGAGATGGAGATCTCCCTCGCCAAGCTCTCCCTCGAGCTCGACGACAAGTTCCGTTTCGCCAAGCCCAAACCCGTCGGTGAGAAGCCCGCCGGTGAGGACAACGGTAAGAAGTCCGCGACGGACGCCAAGCCCGCTCCGCGCGCGCCCAAAGTCGCCGTGGACGAAGCCAAGCCCGTCGTCGCCAAGAACGCCTTCGACGCCCTTGGCGAGGAGTAAACCGCTCCCATCATCGATATCGCTCCATCACCTGTAATCACACCGGTTTCACGCTTCGCCGCCGTCGAACGCGTTCGATTCCCTCGCTGGCGTACAAAAGATGCCCAAGTGCCCGAACGCGACCGCAGATCTCGCCTCGCGTGGAATAATGTTCCGTAAACTCTTCGGATACGGTCGGTCGTCCCCCGGGACGTCGACGACGGCGCACAACGGCAACACCACCCCATCCACCGCGGTCGACGCGATCGATCGCATCAAGCGGGTGCGTCGGCGCGACGCGCGACGCGCGACTGGAGATTTGGGAGATTGCAGCAGTCGAAAGATTCTCGACTTTCATTCAATCTCGCGGCGCGCTCTGGACGAATGAAGCGCCGCACGCGAGTCGAGAACGTCGATGAAGTGTTCGCTCGCGAGACTGACGCGAGTTTTGATCGTTCACGTCGCGGGCGCAGACGCTGGAGATGTTGGAGAAGAAGGAGGCGCTGACGAATCGACGAGTCGAGGAGGAGCTCGCGCTGGCGAGAGAGGAGAATCGAAAGGGAAACAAGCGACGAGCGATGCAACATCTGAAGAAGAAAAAATTGTACGAGGCGCAGTTGGACGCTCTGTCGACGTCGCAGTTGAAGCTGCAGGAACAGGTGATCATGTTGGAGGGGTCTCGGGCGACGAGCGAGACGTACGGAGCGCTGCGCACCGGGGCGGACGCGATGCGACGGTTGGCGAAAGAAACGAGCATCGACGACGTGGACGCGACGATGGACGTGATCAACGAACAGACGGAGCAGATGCGTGCGGTGCAAGAAGCGCTCGGACAACCGACTGGTTTGGCGGCGGAGTTTGACGAGGACGAGCTGGAGGAAGAGTTGGCCGAGCTCGACGCCTTGGACGTCGAGAACAATCTTCTGGACCCAGAGCTCGCCAAGGAATTGGAAGAGCCGACACTGCCGAGCGTGCCGCTCCCAGCGGTGCCGGCGAGCGCGAGCGCGAGCGCGCTCTCGGCGGACGAAGAGGCTGAATTGAAGGCGCTTCAGGCCGAGATGGAGCTCTCCTAGATCGAGCACCACGTTGTAACACGAGTCAGAGATCCCTAGCGCACTTCTGTTGGCGTCGAAATCAACCGCGACGCCGCGCTTCGTGGATCACGTCCCGCCCAACCACCGCTCTTCGTCTGCGCTGAACTCACGCACGCCACATCGCGTCGCACGATCGCTCCGCGCCCGTCTCTATGACGGACGATAGTAACAGGTACGTCGCGAACGATTCACGCGCGCCGCAGACCATTGAACCGCGCGAAATCGCGAGTACTATTGCGTTCGTTTTGAATTCGTGTTCAAACAACCAACAGCTAGCAGCCCGAAAACGCGCGACTGACGCGATCGAACGCGCCGCGACGCAGGTGGGAGTTCACGGCTCCAAAATATTTTAATTTCACGAACCCGCGAGCGGACTCGGACGCGGAGGACGGATACTTTGAGAGCGCGGCACCGAGGGCGCTGTCGACGCCGAGTGAGCGAAGAGTGCGGCCGGCGGAACGCGACGAGACGCTCGATGGGAAGATCGCCACAGACGAGCGATGCGCGTTCATGCGGGATCCAGAGAACAGGGGAATGAACGGTGACCTCGATAGGACGTCGCCAAAGGAGATTCCGGGACGATTACAGAGTCGCACGCCAGGACGTACACCGCGAAGGTTGGGAGCGCCGAGACGTGCGGCGGCGAACGATGGATCGAGTGAACGGAAGGTGAAGACGCCGAAGACGGTGGAGAATACGCCGGTGCGTCGATCACCTAGGTTGCTCGCGCTGGTAACGTCAAGCATGAAGAAGGAGGCCTCGAGCGCGAAGTCGCCAAGGTTGGACGCTTCGCGAGGACGCTCATCACAGAAGAGGACGCCTAAGGAGAACGCGACGAGAAGATTCACCTCTCAGTCGCCCATGAAGCGAATTTTGAAAACACCCAAACCCACGGCATATCGCGTGGCGTCGATCGCGAAGCATGAACGCGACACGCAGTCAGTGCTAGAGGCGAGACGAAAGGTGACCGAGCCAATAGCGCCAACGTCACGGTTGCTCGAGAGTACCAAGAGACCCATCACGCCGATGGAAAAGTTTAGATCACGCAAGGAAAAGCTCCGCGCGTTCGAGACCGGTGGGAGAACGACGGATTACGAAGATTTGACACAGATTCCTGCGTCGACGACGACAACGCGAGCGGTGAGTCCAAAGTTCACCAGGACTCGCATGAAGCAAAAGATTTTGACAACCGAAGAGCGCGAGCTCTTGGAGATCCAAAACACCAAGGCGGCGATGGAGAGAGAAAAGCAGAAGCGACGGACGAGCTCGTACGCGCCTCCATACACAACGATCAAATCCAAGTTGGCGCATTCGTTGACGTCGGCTCGGCGGAGCAAAGTATACCCAGAGCCACCGCTCGCCGTCGACGACGTCTCAGACGCGATCCGCCGAACGCGCTCGAGGCGAACGTCGGCACCGATGATGGAGAGGACGAGATCGGTGGAAAAAATCGAGCAAACACCTCCGGAGGACGCGCGAAAGAGGAAGCGTATCTCCATCACCGGGTCGGTCTTGACTGAAATAACGCCGTTTCAACTCTCAACCGAGCAGCGAGGCGCGTACCACAAACGGAAGTTTGCTCGCTTGCAAGAGGAGGAAGCAAAGCGCAAAAAATCCGAGCACCGCCCATTCAAGGCGACGCCGGTACCACCTGAACAACGCGCGGGCGTGTCGATCACGCGCCAGGCGCTCGCTAACTTGCTCGGACGCGGAAAGAATTAAGACGTAGGAATGGTTGTAAATCGCAGGAGAGCGTAAATATGTGAGAAAATTGATGAGTCTTATTGCATCACTACTAAGCTTTGGCAACCATACTAAGACCTCGTGACGGCACGGGGAATGTTTCATCAAACAACGAATTCCGAAGTAAATCAAAAAAATTAATCCACCTCTTCAATCTTCGGTCCAGAGGAAGCGCCACCGGCACCGCCCATGTCCGCACCGCCCATGTCAGCGCCCGGCGGGGCACCGCCAGCGCCTTGGTACATCTTGCTGATGATCGGATTGCAAACGCCCTCCAACTCCTTGAGCTTGTCCTCGAACTCATCAACCTCGGCGGTTTGGTTGCCGTCCAACCAAGTGATCGCGGCCTCGACGGCGTCCTCGATCGTCTTCTTGTCTTCCGCGTCCAACTTGCCACCAACATTCGCATCGCTCATCGTGTTACGCATGTTGTACGCGTAGTTCTCGAGGCCGTTCTTCGCATCGATCTTCTTCTTGTGCTCCTCATCCTCAGCCTTGAACTTCTCGGCGTCTTGGACCATGCGCTCAATCTCCTCCTTGCTGAGGCGACCCTTGTCGTTGGTGATGGTAATCTTGTTCTTTTGGCCGGAAGCCTTGTCTTCGGCGGAAACATTGAGAATACCGTTGGCATCGATGTCGAAGCACACGTTAATTTGCGGGACACCACGCGGAGCCGGCGGGATGCCGGAGAGCTCGAACTTGCCAAGCAAGTGGTTATCGCGCGTGCGCGAGCGCTCGCCTTCGAAGACTTGAATCAACACACCCGGCTGGTTGTCGGAGTAAGTGGAGAACACTTGTTCCTTCTTGGTCGGGATGGTGGTGTTGCGCGGGATGAGCACGGTCATCACGCCGCCAACGGTTTCGAGACCCATCGAGAGCGGAGAAACGTCGAGCAAGAGCAAGTCTTGAACCTTCTCGTTGCCCTCGCCGGACAAGATGGCGGCTTGGACGGCCGCACCGTACGCGACGGCTTCATCCGGGTTGATGGACTTGCACAACTCCTTGCCGTTGAAGAAGTCGGACAAGAGCTGTTGAACCTTCGGAATACGCGTGGAACCACCAACGAGGACAACTTCGTGGACGGAAGACTTGTCCATCTTGGAGTCACGGAGGCACTTCTCAACCGGGTCCATGCACTTGCGGAACAAGTCCATGCAGAGCTCTTCGAAGCGAGCACGGGTGATGGAGGTGTAGAAGTCCACGCCCTCGAAGAGAGAGTCGATCTCGACAGAGGTTTGCGCAGTGGAAGACAAGGTGCGCTTCGCGCGTTCGCACGCGGTGCGAAGACGGCGGAGAGCCTTCGGGTTACCAGTGATGTCCTTCTTGTGCTTGCGCTTGAACTCTTGGATGAAGTGCTGCAACAATCTGTTGTCGAAATCTTCGCCGCCCAAGTGCGTGTCGCCAGCCGTCGCCTTGACTTCGAAGATACCTTCCTCGATGGTCAAGAGAGACACATCGAAGGTACCACCACCGAGATCGAAAATTAAGACGTTCTTCTCGGCGCCGTTGTTCTCGTTGCGCTTGTCCAAACCGTACGCGATGGCCGCGGCGGTCGGCTCGTTGATGATGCGCAAGCAGTTCAGGCCGGCGATGACGGCGGCATCCTTGGTCGCTTGACGCTGGGAGTCGTTGAAGTACGCCGGGACAGTGACGACGGCGTTCTTGATTTCCTTGCCGAGGTACGCCTCGGCGGTTTCCTTCATCTTAACCAAAACCATGGAAGAAATTTCCTCCGCGGAGAACTTCTTGGACTCGCCGTGGAAATCCACGGCGATCATCGGTTTGTCGTGCTCGCCAGCCTCGACCTTGAAGGACCAATCCTTGATGTCGGCTTGAACTTGCGGTTCGCTGAACTTGCGACCGATCAAACGCTTGGCATCGAAGACGGTGTTGGTCGGGTTCATCGCGGTTTGGTTCTTCGCCGAGTCACCAATCAAGCGCTCGCTGTCGGTGAACGCGACGTACGACGGCGTCGTACGGTTACCCATGTCGTTCGCAATAATTTCAACCCTGCGTCGCGCGCGAAAATCATCGAATCGTCAGTCATCCAGTCCCGCGCGCGAAGTCAACCGCGCGGTCGCTTTGACCAGACGCGCCATCCCCTATGGGCAAACAGTGCCATATCCACACCGAAAACGACACCACCGTCCCATCGAGCGCCGCCCGTCGCGAGCCGCCGCACGCGCGTTTCGAGATCCATCTTGCGCGCGCGCGTCCGCCCCCCGCGCGCTCCCCGCGCGCCGACGCGACCGCGACCGATCGTGCGAATAAAAATCCACGCGTCCACATCGTCGCGCCTCGGCATCGCGCGCGCGTCCGCCACCCCACGCCGACGCGCGATCGCGCCGACGCGCGCGAAACGCCCATCGCGCGCCCGAAGTCCCATCGCCCCCGTCGCGCGTTCGCGTCACCGCGTCACCGCGCACCTGTCGTGTTGCCAGACACCGACGCATGAATACGTCGTGCCCAAATCGATCCCGATCGCGGGACCCTCAGCCTTACTCATCGTGTGTCGTTCGTGACGTGTCGTGTAGTGCGGTCGCGGCGATGGCGCGCGGCGTCGCGGCGAGAGAAGACGGCTCGAGAAGGTCGTCGATGGAACACATTTCACGAATCATGACTCGTGACACAGCGACCGCCCCGCGCCAAACGTCGCGACGCGCGATCGCGCCCGAGGGGTGCCCGATGGATGTTTCTGGAGCACACTACGGCACAGTGGAGTCTCCCGTCGACGAGTCGTGACCGGTCGATGGAACACCACCGATGGGCGTTTCTGGCGCCCTCGATGGCGCAGTGGAGTCTCCCGTCGACGAGTCGTGACCGGTCGATGGAACACCACCGATGGGCGTTTCTGGCGCCCTCGATGGCGCAGTGGAGTCTCCCGTCGACGAGTCGTGACCGGTCGATGGAACACCACCGATGGGCGTTTCTGGCGCCCGCGCGCGAATCCGCGTCGACGCGCCGTCGCGCGCGCGCGCGGGGGGGCGTCGATGCGGGCGCGACGGCTCGAATCGCTCCTCTCGGACGTGGCCCCGTTCGAGGCGCCGAAGCAGGCGCTGGAGCAGTACCCGACGAATCCCGAGCTCGCCGCCGGCGTCGTCCATCACGCGCGCGCGCGCGGTGACGTCGAGGATAAGGTGGTGGTCGATCTGGGGTGCGGGACGGGGATGCTCGCCATCGCCGCGATCGTGTGCGACGCGGGGGGGGTGATCGGGATCGATGTCGACGCGGACGCGTTGGCGACGGCGCGGGCGAATTGCGCGCGGTTCGACCCGGCGCTCGAACCCGAGTTCGTGCTCGCGGACGTCGTGCGGGACATTGGGAGGGGGAGGGAGAGAGTGGGTGGTGATGATGATGGGACGTCGTCTTCGTCGCGGAGGATACCGATCAGGGGGGACACGGTTTTGATGAATCCGCCGTTCGGGACGCGGCGCGCGGGCGCGGACGTCGCGTTCCTCAAGGCGGCGTTTAAGATTGCGAGCGGGGCGATTTATAGCTTTCATAAGACGAGCACGCGATCACACATAGAGCGAGTGGCGATGATGCGGTTCGGCGCGCGCGAGGCGGAGGTTTTGGCGCAGATGAAATACGACTTGCCGGCGACGTACGCCCATCACAGAGAGAAGAGCGTGGAGATCGCGGTGGACCTCTGGCGGTTCGTCCCGGGGGATGGGATCGCGAGCGATGACGATGACGATGACGATGTCGAAGATCTCTCGCGGTCGTTCGCCGGGAAGGCGCGCGTGAGAGATGGGCGCGGACGTGGTCGAGGCGGCGGTCGAGGCGGCGGTCGAGGCGGCGGTCGAGGCGGCGGTCGAGGCGGCGGTCGAGGCGGTCGCTCGCGCAGGTGAGAAATTAGGACTTTAGCGAGTGTGCAATAGGACGTAGATAGTGCAGAACACGAACGTGATCACGAAATTTCGTACAAATTAAAAAGCCAGCAAGAGAAATAGCTCATAAATGCGAGCGAGCGCGAACCTAAGGGCGCTCAAAACCGTCGCGAGATGCGGCCCCGCTCTGGAGGGGAGTGTCGTGCGCACGACCCACCAATGGCGTCTTTGGTAATGAATGTTGGACGACTGAACAAAGACGTCGTCTAGGATCTTAGGCCCGCGTCGGCTCGAAACGCATGCGCTCCATCTGCGCCTCCTTGGGTAACTTCACCTTGTCAGCCAGGCGGAGGAACTTCAACAAGCAAATCATCATCCAAGTCATGTCGATTTGCCACCAACGCAAACCGTGGCGCGCGCTGAACTCGAACGCGTGGTGGTTATTATGCCAGCCCTCACCGAACGCCAGGATACCTATGGGCCAGTTGTTTCGGGACAGGTCGCCCGTGTTAAACTCCTGAGAGCCCCAGCAGTGGGACACCGAGTTCACCGCCCAGGTTATGTGATACACCCACACGGTTCGAACGCAGAAACCCCAAACGAGCCACGGCATGCCACCGATGGCGAACAAAGCGACGGCAGACGCGAGAATGTGCCACATGTACGTCTTCTCCATGAAACGATAGAACGGTTGCGCCGCCATCTCCTGCGCGTTCGAACGATCCCCCACGCGCTCGATTGTCGCCTCGTTATCCAACAGCCAACCCATGTGCGACCACCAGAAGCCTTCGTACGGCGTGTGCGGATCCTTCGGCGTGTCCGTGTGCTGGTGGTGGTGACGATGGCTCGACGCCCACTCCAACGGGTCGCCTTGCACGGCGAGGACGCCGCAGTACGCCAAGACGTACTCGAGCCACTTGGGCGTGCGGAACGACTTGTGCGACAACTGACGGTGATAGCTCAGCGTGATCCCGAGGCAACCGGTGATGAAGTACATCGCCAAAAAGCACTTAAACGCGCCCCAGGTGAAGTAAAACGGGGCCAAGAGTGCGCCGACGTGCATGGCACCGATGAAGCTAACGTACGTGATGTCCGTCGGGATCCACTTGCGCAAAAACGCGTTGCGCTTTGGGCTCGCCAAAATGTCCGAGAACAAAACCTTGCGCACGGGCTTGACCCCCGCCCACGCTCCTTTCGCCGCCGCCGCGGCCTCGCTGTTCACCTGGCCCCACAACTCACACGCCTTATCCACGGTATCCTGACCGATTCTCTTCCACACCACCGCGTCGTCGCTCTCGTCGCCGAGCTCAATCACCCCCGGCGCCGTCACCGCGCGCGCGACGCGTCCCGGTCGCGCCACCGCGCGCGACACTCGCACGTGCACACGCGTTCCTACGTCGACGCACACGACAGTCTCTCGTCAGTCTCTCTCCGCCCGCGCGCGCCGCCACCGCGCGATCGCGCCGTCCCGCGAATCCCCGCGCCGTCGTCGCCGTCCTCCGCCCCGCCCCATGTCCCCCCGATGACACGACGCGCGCATTTTCACCCCAAACCGCCCGCGCGCGCGCGCGAGCACCGC